ATTCCAAAGGGAAGCTAGCGAAGCAAAGTCCTTCAGGAGACGGTGTGGAATTAAAAGCCTCCTGAAATGCAGCAGCTTCGCTGCCAGGGAGGAGACGAAACCGCTGGCTCCGTGCTGGGAATGGGCGCATTGGGGCACTTGGGTGCCGCTGGTCCTGCGCAGCCTCCGCGGCCGCCGGCTGTTTGGATGTGGGAAGAGCCAGAAGGCCCTTCCGGCCCTCCTCGCTCTGTTCCAGGCGAGGAACCGCGGGCTGGGTGCTGTATTTCTGTCCCTCTCTCCTCGCAGGGCATGAAGATTGTCTTGAATTGTTACTTGAACACAACCCGTTCGCGTACCTAGAAGGAAACCCCTTTACTCCATTGCACTGTGCAGTGTAAGTGGGACCTGCTCCGGGTTCTTCCCAGCCAGGTGATGTGGGAGACGGGGATACTGGTCCGCGTGGAGGAACCCCAGGCCCTGCCCTTCTTGCCAAGGGCCTTTTCCTGGGCACCAGCAGCTCCTCGGGGTGGTCCCACCGGCTCATCCCAGCTCCCATGTGGCAGGGAGGCGGTTGGGAGTGCTGGAGGTCTCGACAGCAGGGCTGTTGGGTCCCAGGCTCCCGTGACAGCAGGATAACGGAGCTGCCAAGGGCTGGGGGTTCACCCCTGTCCAGCCCTCTGGGATGGCTTATCTCTGTTCTTTGGCTACGGAGCATCCCGGGAAATCTCCAGGCTTCCCATCAGGCTCTGGAGAAGGGCTCAAGCCTTCTCCCTCCCAGGTGTCTGGGGCAGCATGAGCAGGATCTGGGGGGTCCCGCTGGGCGCAGAGGGATTTGGGGCTGACAGTGCTGCGGCAGCAGTGGAGGAGTGAGGAGGCTTTGCCACCAGGAAGGGGGGCTTGGTGTGTCCCTGGGACCCGTAGCCACAGGGGGGCAGGCAAGGCTGTTGTCTGCTGTGGTTCTGTGTTTCCTCGAGTGATCCCAAGAAGGGTAAAGGGGTGTTGGACCCTAAACAGCTCCAGACCAGCTGCCGTTTGCATCCGAGCCCCAGGAATGCGCCGCTCGCTCCCACTTGCAGACGGGTGAATGCTGCTTGGTTTTGTTCTAACCTTTCCTTCTCGTCTCCCCCCCGGCAGAATTAACAACCAGGACGGCACCGCTGAAATGCTGGTGGAAGCATTAGGTGCCAAGATTGTTAATAGCAGAGATGCCAAAGGAAGGTGAGCGCAGACCCACGCCCCGGTGCTGCTAGGTGACCCCCTGCAGCGATTTCCCTGTGGCACCAAGGGACTCTGACATCCCCAAACGTGGCCTGGGCAGTCTTGTGGGTGGGTGCTTGCACCCTCCCCTTCACCCCCTCTTTTGTTTTCCCAGGACACCCCTTCACGCTGCTGCCTTTGCAGACAACGTCCATGGTTTACAGCTGCTTCTGCGCCACCAAGCCGAGGTGGACGTGACCGACAAGCTGGGGAGGACTCCCCTCATGATGGCTTCTGAGAACGGGCACACCGCCGCCGTCGGTACGTGGCTGCCGGACGCTTTCCCCGCTACGGAGCGCGAGCATCCCTCTGCCTCCTCCGTCACCGGGTCCCGTGGGAGCTGGCCTTGTCCCTCTCCTCGTGGGGACAACGGGACAGCTGCCCTTTGTCCCCTCAGCGTGTGGCCACCGCCGGGCTCTGTGCTGCTGCTTCTTGACAGCCGCTGTCCCTCCTTGTTTCAGAGTACCTGCTGTTCCAAGCAAAAGCAAATATAACTGTGCTGGATGTCAA